AATCTCTGCGGCTCTGATGGCTCGACTGAAACATTCTGGCCCTGAAGCATGTACTCTGTTGCTGGCAGGCACATCTCTGTTGTGGCCTTCTCGTTGAGCTCTGTTCCTGTCAACCAAGCCTTGAACGAGGATGGATCTCGCATCAAAGACTGGGTCCCTGGGGTCGACTGGAATCCTCTGCCCAACACTATGAGGGCGTCTGTCTTCTCGCCGTCGAGGCGCATATGACCCACTCCTCGGGGGAGGGGTTGGCACTCGACGTCGGTCATCACGATCGAATCGGTGATCATGCTGCTCATTCCTCCTGTACTGATCATGCCGGTCACCACGTCCCTCATGCCTCGGGGGCGATCTCGGGCTGTGAGCCGACTGGACTATATCTGTTGCAACGGATCGACTGTGGATCCTATCTCGCGACTGAGAAATGGCGGAATTCTGGTTTCCCGCCGCCCGAAGCAACGCTATGATCTGCAACAAGCCCCTACCAGCCTCCGATTGGGAGGGCTGAATTGATTCTGCTATACGGGCTGCGGCGGCCAAATTCTGAACTGGGGTTCGATATACCTGCGGCGGCGAGAAGAGCTGACGCCGACTGGACTCGGGAGCTTGCTGACGTCGACTGGACTCGGGAGCTCGCTGACGCACTTGCTCGTCGAGTATTCGCTGGAGATTCTCTAGTCGAGTGCGCTCGGCCAGGTTAGCCAGGCGCGCGTCCTCCAAGGCCCGGGCCTCGGGGGTTTCTCCGACAATAGGAGTGTGGAGTGCGTCCATGTTCCGACAGCGAAGCTCCTCTCGCTGTAATGACGTGAGAGGTTCGGGGAGATACTCATCGTGGGGACGCGACGGGTCGCCCCCACCCGCGCCTCCATCAGCGCGAGGGAAACCGGGGGGACTGTGTGTTCCATCGACCGCCAGAACCTCAGCCGCTGGGTCGCTGCTATCGCACTCGGATGCGGTCTCCGCGGAGCTAGTCGACAGGTCGAACAGGCCGTAGAGGGATTCGTCGGGCTTGATTGCCGCGACTTGTGGGATGGCTGACTGGCGGGCCACGACATGCCTCACCCACCGCTAAAGTCTCGGCCGACCGGAGCGCTTGCGCTGGTGGGAGACAGGGCGGGGAGACGACGCAGGGGCCGACCGATACTGGGTCGACGACTGCCGCAGGAGGACGCCACGAATGCATGCGCGGAAGTGCGTCGCACCGCGGACGGGGAGCGCGTCGATGTCAAGTGGTGCCTCCTGAAGCCAGGAGGAGTCGTCGGCGATGAATGTGAGCTCGCCGAGACGGATCTCGCGGCCCTCCACCAAAACTCCGCAAGAAACCATGATCAAAGGGATCGGAAAAGATCGCAGCTTCTCCAACTAGGCGCTAAGATTCCTGCCCCACGGTGGGCGCCAACTGTCGTGGTTCTAACTCTGACAGTGATGTAGGGGGTGAGTATGGAGAGGCTAGATCTTAGCTATTGGGAAGTTGTAACACGCGAGGTTTACGAGTTCAGGACCTTCTCGGAGGAAGTAATAGCCCTACGTCTCGGAGCCCGGAGGCGGTCTACTGGATTATGCGTGTCTGGATTACAGGGGTGCGGACCCTTCATACTGAGGAGGGGGGTGGCTTATATAGAGTTCGCTGGCCCCCTCCTGCCCTCAGTAATGCAGGGTTTTAAGGTACGTTTAAGGTTGGGCGTTACAGATAACGCCCCTAATAAGGCGCTATAATGACCATAAAGACTACTTATAGCCGACCGTTTGCCTGCGGAGTGACTTTAGGTCTCCTGGTCAGTCGAGTGGTTAGCTTCATGGTCGAGTGATGGCTTCTTGGTCGAGTGTCTTGAACCCGTCGAGTGGGATACCTTCAAGTCGATTGAAAGGTGGTTTCTTCTAGGGATGACCTTGGGTAGGGCTCTTTGGACGGGTCCGTGCCCCTACCCTAGGTACATAGCTTCATCAGGTGGCGGCCCGAGGCGGCGGCTAGGGTTAGCGGAAGCGGGAAGATCGACTTGTGATAGATACCATGTAGAGAATGATTTGGTGCATCGATGATTGATTGATCGTGCACTAGGCACATATATATAGGTACAAGGGGTGCGACCAGTATTTTGTCTCCTAAGATACACGTATATACAGAGCGAGACAGATACAACAGGTACTGCATACAGGACCCAAACCTATATACATGGACACACGTTCAACAGTAGGGACTGGCGGAAGGTGGGGAATGATAGCTTTAAGAGAGTAGTCCCCAATTAGCTTCTTCTCGTATTTCTGGTTTTACGAGTTATGATGTTTGTGGCGCTTATTCTCAATCTTGCACTAGTTGACATCTGCTCTCTTTTTTAATAGTATATATATGTGCACAAATCTGGTGCATGCTCTCGCAGGAAAAAAAAATGCTCCAGCATAGAGAGCTACTCAGACATTCAAATGATCTATAATTTGGTACGTACCTCACGCGCTCAGGTATATTTCTGCACAAAAAAAATCAGTTTTTTTTTGAATTTATTAGTATTTTTAATGATTTTTTTGTTCACTCCCAGGCTCATCTAAGCCTGGGAGACAAAATGCCTCACTCCTACTTTAATGCATATTCATCGGATCATGCATGATGACATTAACTGAGAAGCAAAAAAAGTCCTGACAACAGTTTTGGTGTAAGGATGTCGGATCATGCATGAGAGGATGAAGAAAACAATCGAGAAGGCTTGTGGCCAGAATCAAGAGGAAGACAACCACATGAGAAAGCGAAGGAGGCTAGAACTACAAGAGTTTTACCTGACCCGCAAAAAAGAAAAGAGTTTTACCTAATCAATAGCATTCTTATGCTGGGATAATGGGTTTTCACTGGATCCATTCACACCAGGCCTCTCTCCAAAAATTTGGAGCCCCGGGTGAAAATAAAACTAGACCTGTTTTTTTAAAACAAGTACAGTGGATCAAGAATAAACTTAATTTTATCTTATCCTATCTTTTTTTTGCAAGGAAATTTTTTAATGTATTCATCAACTGTTAAGGTAGTACAAAGAACACCAGAAATAGAAAATATTACATCTTATCCCATCCTAGCTCCATGGACAAATAATTTATCCTCAGGGACGTTAACATTAATCAAGTGCTACTGATAAAAACAAATAAATTAATTATCAATTCTAGTGGAGAGGTCTCGAGGGAGGGGCCGTGGACTCATGGACGATCACCGATCAATGGAAGCACACAGGGACCTGGGCAATTGGCCATTGGCGAAAGCAAATTTTTTTTTGAGAAGATGGATAATTGACAGAAAAGGAATGTCGAATATGTATACAAGGGTACGTGGGCGATTGGCGGAAGCGTCGTGGGTGGCTTTGCTAGTGGCTAATGTGTTCCTTTTGTTCGCTGGTTGTGCCGCTTTATTACATAATATTAAGGCATTGACCTAACAGACTATACGTATACATGTGTACTATACTCAGGTCATTTGGGCCCTGGGTGGTTGCCCACCTCGACCTCCTCCATCGATGCCAACATTATCTTTTTTTAAGTATTTCACAAAGCTTTATTACTGTGTCGTAATGTTGGTAGGGACGAATACAAGATCTATGGTCTGGCCTAACCAAACATGACGGCCAAAACCTACGAATAAAACATACTTTGCGAGATTATGGGCCTCTACCTTCGAGGTCCTATACTCATGACTAAAAATACATTTAGAAAAATTGCTCGCTCTAGCTATAATCTCCTTAATTATTGCTCCAAAGGCAGCGGAACTCCCTTCTTTGATCGGATCAATGGCCACCTTGCAATCTAATGCGATGGACATTTTGTTTATGTAAAGATCCTCTGCAAGAGTAAGAGCCTCTCTAATTGCTATTGTTTCCAGAATTTGGGGGGTCAGAGATATTGCTGACAACAAGTGCCGATGCGCCCAAAAATCCTCCTGCTTCATCTCTGCATATAGCTTCAACAGCTCCGAATCTCCCCTCGCTGGAAACTGCTGCATCCACATTGTTTTTCGTGTGCTCATGAGGTGGACAGATCCACGCCCGTGTCCTCGCTGCAGGTTTCACAAGTGGTTTGTCCTGCTTCGTCTTGCTCAACTCAATTTTCTCCAGATAGGACTTCATGAACCTGTCAGTTTCAAACGGAGTGTGAAAAATATCTTCATGCATCGCCTTTCGACGTGCACTCCAAATGGCCCAAAAAGTCACCGTCATCAGAATGAATTGCTCGGGTGGAAGAGAATCGCTCATAGAGAACAACCATAGCTTTGCATCCGTCTGCGTGGTCATGGTCATGTGCTCGACCAATTCCTCGTTGGACAGCGCCCGAACACAACGAGAGGCACTGCACTCCAGCAGCGCATGGCGCCAGTTGTCTTCTAACGGAGACAACCAAAGATGTGACATAACCGGCCCAAAGTAATCCAACGAAACACATTCTATAACTTTTGACAACAGTAAAATATGTGTAAGAAAATTTTGTATATCATCTAAAGGTACGACCGTACGAGACATTTGGTCTGATATAGTAGAACATTTTTTTCTGGAAAGGGGGACGACCCGGAAATAGAGGATAACATAGTTTCATGCTTTGCAACAGGAATCAAAATAGGGTGGTTCCTAGAATTAATCCACTTCAAAATAGCACAACAGACTAGTAGCAACAGAAGGCTGCGTAATGAATCAACTATGTACAGATGATGGATATATAGTCGCATAAAGAGCAAAAGAAATAGAGGACTCTAAGACTCTCAAGGACAATTTGCATGGCAGAAAGGCACCTACACAACCGCGGAGCGGCTAAACTCAAACACTTCAACAGTTAATTAATAGTATCACTATAACAAAGCGGCGCCAAAAGGTCCACAGGCAACATATGTATCGCATCATAGGTAAGATAAACAAGCACAAATCAGCAGTGCTACAGTACCATATATATGTTGCGTGATATGTAAGAAGGTACGTAAAAGGGATATCATAAAATCCTCAAAAATATTATAAGAGAGCTTCTTTTAGCTCGCTAGCTAGCTAGGTGTGCCTGTTAGCCTTTCTTTTTCTTTTCTTTTTTCTTTCTTTTGATGTTGTTGGGCTTTCAAGGTATTTGGAGAAGACAGTTGGAAGTAGTTGGACATATGGAGGAAACCTGGATCCGTCATCCACACACCCACCACACTCCGCATCCGCACACTTCATACAGTACGGAGTACATGACCGCAGATATGCATGCTTCATGTCAACCATGATCGTCCAGGCCTTACCACGAAATTCCTTCTCCCTCAAAAGGCAGCACAGAACATCCGGGTCATCCGGGTTGATGAACGGGAACTCGGGAAGACGCTGCGGTATGCCCAGAGCTTCGTAGCCACGTTGTGCCCATAGACAATCCAGGTTGATCACGCGGTGCAGCTCCCACTGGAACTCCGAGCTCAAAGTCCAGATGGTGATTCTCTGGCGAGCCTGCTGCTGCTGCCTTTTCCTCTCAGGAAGCTGCTGAACCCATCGGGAGCGATAGTGGATTCTGTCATGGAAGTCCTTGTCAATGTGGACGAAGCGCATCTTGCCCTGGCTGACGGACACGCTTCGGTATCTCTCCGGGTAGTAACTTTCGAGTCGTACCTCATTATGGTAGTCATTCTCTCCAGGGAATGGCACGAAGCGGAGCGCTGGCGAGTCTATGGTGGAGAAGTCACACAGCAGGACGCCGGTGAAGTAGTCGACCCAGCAGAGGAAACGGCCGTCGAAAGCGAGCACCTGGTGGGTTGACCAGAGGTGGAAGAAGTGGCAGCCGTTGCTCTGGTCCTGCAGCTGCGTGGTAGACATCTTGATCTTGTGGATGATTTTCCACTTCCCAGTCCCGGAGTTGAAGACGCAGAGTTCGGCAGGCATGGAAGGATTGCCCGTGACATTGAGCTCGGCGACGATGTAGCGGTCCGCCGTCTTGAGCCGCAGGATGCCTGTTGGGAGGCTACCCATCAGGAACGCCCTACCTCTCTCCCTGGTGAACGGAGGGAGCCGCTGCACCGAGGGGGAAGAACCGGCGGCCGTGTAGACGAACAGATCCGGCGGGACGAGGTAGCTGTCAGTCTGGGTCGGGGTGGAGATGTCGAAGAGGACGAGGTCCTTGTCAGCTGCCCGGACGTAGGCATAGGCGGGAGAGAGGGCTGAGCCTTGTTCCTCCGGCCAGTGGACGTTGAGGTAGGAGACCCCCTTTGGAGGAGCCGCGAGGGTGAAGGACACGTAGCAGGAGGGGCCGCCGTTCATGTCTAGTGGAGCGGTGGTCTTGTTCTTGTTAACAGCCACACGAGCAGCGTCTAGGCCGTTGTGGCAGCGCGTGCGGCCGATGCGGCCCAGCATCACCCAATCGGGGAAGACGACGACGGTCTCTTCCTCCGGCTCCGGCGCGCCTCCGGTGGCCATGGGGATCGAACTTGCCTCCAAAACCCTAACCCTATGTTCTTGGTGAGGGGAACCGACGGACTGGAAAGAAGGGCGACAGGCCAAGTAATAGTACTTACGTATAATATACTAGCAGGGCCATCGATCTCAATGGGCCAGGAAACTAGTGGCAGAAGCGAACAAAGCAGGGGAGTTTCTACCACTAAAAAAAAGCAATATGCAGGGACAAGAATATGGCGTATTTTTGGGGGCCTCTACTCTGGTCACTAAGAAGAAACCTAGCGTGAAGAACTCGCCTGTTTGGGGCCCAATTTTAACAAGCAAACCGACAACCAGGAATCATGGGGACGTCAAGATTATGGACAAAGCTGTTGCATACAAGATGAGGAAAAATTTGGAGATTCCCAACACCTTCAAAGGTAAATCATTCGTTGTCCTTGATCCTGAAGTTCTGGCTTTAAATACTAGTAAAGTTGATTTATGCATTGGTATGGATGCTCAAGAACAAAAAGATATTATTATGCATATGGTTGATGTTGAGAAAGCTCGTGGTCTCAAGTTTGCGGATGATAACCCGGAGATTGTTCTCCCTAATAGTTTAGATTTGGAAAATATAGATGATAAGAGTACCCAGGGTGTAAACGACAACTCGGCCATCAATGGTGCTGAGGGCACTGCAGGACCATTGATGAAAAGCCCTGTTCTGAACACCAAGAAGAAGCCATGTGGCTTATCACACCCTTTTAAGATCAAATGATCGGAGCCTTTTGGAATATTAGGGGTATGGGTCAAACAGGGAAAAATCAGTGCCTTGGTGATTTTATTAATAACAACCATGTGGATTTTGTGTGTTTCTTTGAAACCAAAAAAGAGAAAATTGATAGTCATATTCTCAAATACATTTCTGGTAAAGAGGATTTTGTTTGGCAGCTCTTACCTGCGGAGAAGACTGCTGGGGGGATCCTTATGGGTCTGAAGAATGATTTGTTTGAAATCATAGGATTCATAAATAGAAAATTTTGCATTATTGCCACTGTTAAAAATAAGAGCGATGGGTTCATTTGGCATCTAGTGGCTGTGTATGGCACTTCTTATAATGAACATAAGTTAGAGTTCATTGCTGAATTGCTTGATATTATGGATAATCTCACATACCCAGTTTTGATGGGAGGAGATTTTAACCTGGTTAGATCGATTGATGATAAGAACAATGGGATTAGCAATAGTCAATTTTCTTACCTTTTTAATGATTGGATAAATAAGTGGTCCCTTATGGAGATCAAGATTGCTAATAGGAAGTTTACTTGGAGTAATAATCAAAACAACCCTATCTTTGCTGCGATTGATAGAATTTTTACTTCTGGTACCTGGGTGTTGGGGAACGTAGTAATTTCAAAAAATTTCCTACGCACACGCAAGATCATGGTGATGCATAGCAACGAGGGGAGAGTATGATCTACGTACCCTTGTAGATCGCAACGGAAGCGTTGACACAACGTAGAGGAAGTAGTCGTACGTCTTCTTCCCGATCCGACCGATCCAAGCACCGTTACTCCGGCACCTCCGAGTTCTTAGCACACGTACAGCTCGATGACGATCCCCGGGCTCCGATCCAGCAAAGCTTCGGGGAGGAGTTCCGTCAGCACGACGGCGTGGTGACGATCTTGATGTATTACCGACGCAGGGCTTCGCCTAAGCACTACAACGATATGATCGAGGTGGAATATGGTGGCAGGGGGCACCGCACACGGCTAAGGAACGATCTCAATGATCAACTTGTGTGTCTAGAGGTGCCCCCTGCCTCCGTATATAAAGGAGCCAAGGGGAAGGGGTGCGGCCAGCCCTATGGAGGCGCAGGAGGAGTCCTACTCCTACCGGGAGTAGGACTCCCCCCCCCCCCCAATCCTATTCCAAATAGGATTCCCAAGGGGGAAAGAGGGAGAGGGGTGGCCGGCCACCTCTCCTAGTCCTAATAGGACTAGGGGAGGGGGGGAGGCGCGCAGCCCTTATGGGCAGCCCTTTCACCTTTCCACTAAGGCCCACTAAGGCCCATATGATTCCCGGGGGGTTCCGGTAACCTCCCGGTACTCCGGTAAAATCCCGATTTCACCCGGAACACTTACGATGTCCAAACATAGGCTTCCAATATATCAATCTTTATGTCTCGACCATTTCGAGTCTCCTCGTCATGTCCATGATCACATCCGGGACTCCGAACAACCTTCGGTACATCAAAATGCATAAACTCATAATAACTGTCATCGTAATGTTAAGCGTGCGGACCCTACGGTTCGAGAACAATGTAGACATGACCGAGACACGTCTCCGGTCAATAACCAATAGCGGGACCTGGATGCCCATATTGGCTCCAACATATTCTACGAAGATCTTTATCGGTCAGACCGCATAACAACATACGTTGTTCCCTTTGTCATCGGTATGTTACTTGTCCGAGATTCGATCGTCGGTATCGAATACCTAGTTCAATCTCGTTACCGGCAAGTCTCTTTACTCGTTCCGTAATACATCATCTCACAACTAACATATTAGTTGTAATGCTTGCAAGGCTTATGTGATGTGTATTACCGAGAGGGCCCAGAGATACCTCTCCGACAATCGGAGTGACAAATCCTAATCTCGAAATACGCCAACCCAACATCTACCTTTGGAGACACCTGTAATGCTCCTTTATAATCACCCAGTTACGTTGTGACGTTTGGTAGCACCCAAAGTGTTCCTCCGGCAAACGGGAGTTGCATAATCTCATAGTCATAGGAACATGTATAAGTCATGAAGAAAGCAATAGCAACATACTAAACGATCGGGTGCTAAGCTAATGGAATGGGTCATGTCAATCAGATCATTCAACTAATGATGTGACCTCGTTAATCAAATAACAACTCATTGTTCACGGTCAGGAAACATAACCATCTTTGATTAACGAGCTAGTCAAGTAGAGGCATACTAGTGACACTTTGTTTGTCTATGTATTCACACATGTATTATGTTTCCGGTTAATACAATTCTAGCATGAATAATAAACATTTATCATGATTATAAGGAAATAAATAATAACTTTATTATTGCCTCTAGGGCATATTTCCTTCAGTCTCCCACTTGCACTAGAGTCAATAATCTAGATTATATTATAATGATTCTAACACCCATGGAGCCTTGGTGCTGATCATGTTTTGCTCGTGGAAGAGGCTTAGTCAACGGGTCTGCAACATTCAGATCCATATGTATCTTGCAAATCTCTATGTCTCCCACCTGGACTAGATCCCGGATGGAGTTGAAGCGTCTCTTGATGTGTTTGGTCCTTTTGTGAAATCTGGATTCCTTTGCCAAGGCAATTGCACCAGTATTGTCACAAAAGATTTTCATTGGACCCGATGCATTAGGTATGACACCTAGATCGGATATGAACTCCTTCATCCAGACTCCTTCATTCGCTGCTTCCGAAGCAGCTATGTACTCCGCTTCACATGTAGATCCCGCTATGACGCTTTGTTTAGAACTGCACCAACTGACAGCTCCACCGTTTAATGTAAACACATATCCGGTTTGCGATTTAGAATCGTCCGGATCAGTGTCAAAGCTTGCATCAATGTAACCTTTTACGGTGAGCTCTTTGTCACCTCCATATACGAGAAACATATCCTTAGTCCTTTTCAGGTATTTCAGGATGTTCTTGACCGCTGTCCAGTGATCCACTCCTGGATTACTTTGGTACCTCCCTGCTAAACTTATAGCAAGGCACACATCAGGTCTGGTACACAACATTGCATACATGATAGATCCTATGGCTGATGCATAGGGAACATCTTTCATATTCTCTCTATCTTCTGCAGTGGTCGGGCATTGAGTCTTACTCAACTTCACACCTTGTAACACAGGCAAGAACCCTTTCTTTGCTTGATCCATTTTGAACTTCTTCAAAATTTTGTCAAGGTATGTGCTTTGTGAAAGTCCAATTAAGCGTCTTGATCTATCTCTATAGATCTTAATGCCTAATATGTAAGCAGCTTCACCGAGGTCTTTCATTGAAAAACTTTTATTCAAGTATCCCTTTATGCTATCCAGAAATTCTACATCATTTCCAATCAGCAATATGTCATCCACATATAATATCAGAAATGCTACAGAGCTCCCACTCACTTTCTTGTAAATACAGGCTTCTCCGAAAGTCTGTATAAAACCAAATGCTTTGATCACACTATCAAAACGTTTATTCCAACTCCGAGAGGCTTGCATCAGTCCATAAATGGATCGCTGGAGCTTGCACACTTTGTTAGCTCCCTTTGGATCGACAAAACCTTCCGGTTGCATCATATACAACTCTTCTTCCAGAAATCCATTCAGGAATGCAGTTTTGACATCCATCTGCCAAATTTCATAATCATAAAATGCGGCAATTGCTAACATGATTCGGACGGACTTAAGCGTCGCTACGGGTGAGAAGGTCTCATCATAGTCAATCCCTTGAACTTGCCGAAAACCTTTTGCGACAAGTCGAGCTTTGTGGATAGTAACATTACCATCAGCGTCAGTCTTCTTCTTAAAGATCCATTTATTCTCAATTGCTTGCCGATCATCGGGCAAGTCAACCAAAGTCCATACTTTGTTCTCATACATGGATCCCATCTCAGATTTCATGGCTTCAAGCCAGTTTGCGGAATCTGGGCTCACCATCGCTTCTTCATAGTTCGTAGGTTCATCATGATCTAGTAGCATGACTTCCAGAACAGGATTACCGTACCACTCTGGTGCGGATCTTACTCTGGATGATCTACGAGGTTCAGTAGTATCTTGATCTGAAGTTTCATGATCATTATCATTGGCTTCCTCACTAACTGGTGTAGGTGTCACTGAAAAAGTTTTCTGTGATGAATTACTTTCCAGTAAGGGAGCAGGTACAGTTACCTCGTCAAGTTCTACTTTCCTCCCACTCACTTCTTTCGAGAGAAACTCCTTCTCTAGAAAGGATCTATTCTTAGCAACGAATGTCATGCCTTCGGATC